GATAGATAGATAGATAGATAGATAGATAGATAGAGAGAGAGAGAGAGGGGCACACAAATTCAGCATTGGTTACAGGAAGGGTTTTTGTTGGGCCCTCTTGTGGCACAAAATGCAATTCTGGCCTAGGAAACTTTGGCCCAGTCTTCTTGGATGAGCTCTTGAACACGCCAGCAGCTTGGCTGATTGGAGATAGCCGAGTGGCACCAAATAGGAGAGTTCATCAGCACAAACAGTTTAGCACAAAACCAACGAGTCGTTGAAATGTCGGACAAAAGGGCCAAGCGTGGCAAGGTATGGGAACCTGTCGGACAGGCTTGTCTCGTTCTGCATGTGGGAGGGACAGTCGCCACCATTGGACTGTTTCCGGTGAACAGCGGAGCAGAGTCGTTCCAGAGTTTGGCGCGCAAGGAGAGCATTCGAAAAGTGCTGGTCATGCCTGGCACTGTGCTGCTTCGTGAGGGTTCCCCTGGAGACTCCATGATGGTCATCTCGAAAGGCGCGGAACCGTCTTTGTCTTTTTCAGCTTGAAAAAGGCTTCTCCCGGACGTGCCTTCGACGCCATCGCCCGGACGGGTTCGCGAGGGGGTAGAACAGAATTCCGATCACGATTCGCCCTGACATTTCAGACCAGTCACACCGCGACCACAGGAGGTGTCCCACCTTTTTCTTTTTGTGGCCACTGATTTGGTCGTGATTTTGTCGTCAGTGCTGTCTCACTTTCAACCTCCCTGGTGGCTTCAGGTCGGGTGGCGACCTCAGTGAACGGCCGCGTGGTGAAGCACCTGGGTGAAGGCTCTTACTTCGGCGCCTTGGCCTTCCCCCTCCAGGGAGGTGAGGAAAAACATGCAAAATCTCGAAACCGGGGCGCGTAGATGTTCAGGTGTGTGAAGTATTTTGAGTGCATGGATGGGAAGGTCAATGGGTTCATAGAAGTTTTGGATCCCACTGTCACTGAGTCAGGCGAGTGGGACTTTGGTTCAGTTTATCTCCTGTCGAGGCGAGCTGGTTTTTCTGGGTGCCACGCTTTTGCGCACGGTCACGGTGACGGCCACCACCTTTTGCGCCTTGACGATCACGGGACGCGGGGGAGTGCATGTGGCACTCAGAAATCCGTGGAGGTTGGAGTCGGATAACAGTCTCAGTCACAGCTTCATGTTATGAGGTTTTTTGGATGGATGTTGCATGTGAGTGGGAAGAAAAGCCAGATCAGAAAACCTCACGCCTTGGGTAGAGCCCTGGAAGGCCCTGGGTCAGAGCTATGGCACCCAAAATCAACATCCATCCTTTGGCGCTGAGGTGACGTCAGAATCATCTACAACAAGAGCTTCCGGCGGCCCCTGGGGCTGGAGAAGCACCGTAGGGGCTGGTGTGAAGGCAAACAGTCCTGCCTGAGTCGGCTGGGGGATCTTGGTGTGAGGTGGAGGGAGTTTGGATAAATTGTGAGCTGATGTGTTTGGCTGATTGGCATGGAGTGGAGCTTCACAAGCGCCTTTGATTCTGAATTGGCGTTGGTTTCGCCAATTCCAGGGTCGTTTTACAATCTCTCGTCAAGAGCTGCCTGAGGATCGCCGAGAAGTACCCGGAGGCTAGGGGGAAAAAAGAGCGTCACGACAAGAAGACTTGGCTTTAGTGGATGTATGCCAAGTCACCTGCGTCACATGCGCCCCAGAAATCGAAATGTACCAGCCTGGAAAGTGGTTGACCGCTGTCCCGGATACAGCCCACAAATGTTTGCAACTGGCTCCTGTGGTCAAGTCGATTTGTGGGGCGCCAACCTGTGAAGTGCCTGGAATCATCCGAACCACTCTGGCTGACAATCTTCGTCCGCTCACTCAAATGCCATAGAATACACAGGTGTTTCAGTTTGGAACTTGCACCAGTGCGCTTTTGGTTCCAGGAAGGATCTTGAATTGTGTTTCGCTTTAACCAGGACAGGGCTCCTGTCCTGTACATGTTTAGCTTCTGATCTTCCACTTCTGTGGGGCCGCCATCCTGTCCTGTACATTTGCACCAGTTCCCGCGCGGCACCGCCCGGCACCGCCGCAGAACGGCGCTCGTCGGGTCGGGGCTCGGTCTGCAGGTGCAGGCCACTCTGAGCAGATTTGATTTGGGAGACACCCGGATGAACGCGAAGGCGCCACGGTTTTTGCATGGAACTCCACCGATGGCCAGTTGTTCTTGCAAGAAGCTTCCTCCAACATCTCAGAATGCCCTTCCGGGTGTTTCATGGTGTTTCTGCATTCATTTGTGTCGCATTGCCACCTGGGCAGGTGGCTGCCAAGCTGGGGAAAAGCCTGGCTGAAGCCTTGGCTCAAGTCTTCCAGCCTCTTGGACCGGAAGAACCGAACCTCTTGGATCCGGGTGGATTCGATCCACGACCCGTTTTCGGAAGTTCCCAAAACCCCTTCGTTTTTTTTTTCCAGAAAAAAGTGCTGCCTTAGGTTCTTTTTTCCCTCCTGAATGAAGGAGCAGACCGGGTGAAAGAGAGTGCGACCAGTTCGTGTGGAGCCATGAAGCCCACACCGGCTCCATCTGAGGAGCATCCATGAAGCCCAGCAGCCTGGTAGCAGCGGGCATCGGCCAATGTTTTGAGGGGGGATTGGATGGACTGGCCCTTGCAATTCTTTTGATTCGAGGCTTCTGTATCAGATATGCGGCTCCCCCTACACGAGGGGCAAAAGCCTCTAGATCCCCCTCCCCCCCACACCCCAAAAATACACCTTTTTTGGCCAATCTTTGATCTTCGGAGAACCTCCCCGCACAAGGCATGTCAACCTTGACATGTTGGCACGTTGAGGTTCTGGTTGGGTAAGGGGAAGGGCCTTAACAAGCTCAAAACTGCTTGTGATGTCGATGTCCTTGTCCATCCATAGCCGTGAGTGGTACAAATATGTCCGTGAGCGGTGAAAGCTTCTTTCGCCGCTGCTTTCAGCATGTCTCGTTCCCGGATGGAGGAGAATCCAGAGAGGTGGTGCCGGCAATTCCAGGTGTTGTTGGAGAGTGACGAGGCTAAGAGCTCCTACACGAGAATGCTGGAACGAGTCCAGGCTGTGCAAGGTTTGGCTCCTCAGCTGTCGGACTTGCCCCTCGGCACTGACCACCAACGAAAAGTGACTCTGCCCTCCGACGCGACGGTGGGAATGGCTCGGAGATGCTTTGGGAGGCCCCTCCGTGGTGAGGTCCGAGTAACTGGACGCGAGAACTCGACACTTGAAGACTCCACTCCTTTGTGGCAGATCTCTCGAGATTGCCAAGCCACATTGGTCTTTGCCGCCGCCAAGGGCAACGACTTTGATGAGAGGACCACTTTCGGCCTCATGAGGAGCTGCTGGCGTATGGTCCAAGAGACCTGGGCGGAATATCGATCAGGTTGATGTCGATCACGAAGTGAACAATCGACGGTGTAGCTGCGCCAATCCGACTTCCCAGCTCCGCCGAGCAGAACGGATCCACTTCCCAGCGATTTCTCCACGATCCGAGCCGTTTTCGAAGCAGAACCGGAGCCACTGGGAGCGCCAAGGAAAAAGAGATGAACAGAGTGGCCTACTGGGAATCCATGCATATCAGATGCATCGAACATGTCTCAGATTGAACACCATGAACAGCTGAACAGCAATTCGTTTTTCATGTCACCTGCATTGGGTCTCTTTGCTCACTTGTTTTGAAGATGTGTACCTGTGCCAGCCGTGCAAAAACGAATCTCAAGCTTGGGCCGGTCTAGCCGGTCTCATACCTGCAAGTTTGTGAGAGGACTGACTAATGCTAAGCAACCGTGTGTGGTACCCCTGAAGCAGTGCGGCATCTGAAGGACATGTGTAGTTGGTTGGTGGTGCGTAGAAGCCCTAAAGATCCGTGTGTTGTGTGCGCGGGGGTGTGTGTGTGTGTGTGTGTGTGTGTCCGCTTTACAGTGTTTGTACATGTCAAGCATATTTTTACCGCCTTTTGGCATTATAGTTCGTTGTGATTGCTTTGAAGATGATGCTGCTTCGTGCAGGAATGTCTTGGAACCTCTGAGGTTAGAAAGGAGATTTGGTGGGGAGCATTCTAGACTAGACGTTCGTTGTTACTGTTTCGATCATGATGTTTCACGGCGTTGCGCTATTCAATCTTTTTCCTGTAAACCAATGGAGAGCTTTCGGGCAGTGGGCGCGACTGATGATCGTTTTGGTGCGGGGATTCCTGGGTTGGCTTTCGTTGTGATTGCTATGAAGATGATGTTGCTTCTTGAACTATTTCACTAGCCTATTTCGCATTATTTTTGGATAGGGTGGTGTTGTTGTTGGTGGTGGTTCTGGTTCTGGTGTCCAGGAAACACCCCTGCAAACATGTCATGAAGTCAAAACACTGTTATTACTACGAAGGAATTTGAACTCCAGATGGTCTCAAGAAACATGCACGCTTCTAGGCGCCGCTTGCCATGTATATAGTTGGAGCTATATGCACGTTCTCAGGAAGAATGCCGCCTCCAGATTGACCTTGACCTCGCCAAGAAAGCTAAAGCCATTGTCATCTTGATGGGAGCGATCGAGCCTTCCCAAGCTGCGGGGAGAAGAGCTTGGCGGTGGGAGGAAAATATCTAAAATCGGCATTGTAGGAATTCACATCATCATTTCATATCAGCATAGTTTTCATCCTAACATTTCGTAACAACATCACATAATTTCATCACATCATATCACCTTTTTCATTTTCATCATATTTCATCATCAACATCATCAATATCAAAGCATCGTATAACCTCATTCAGTTGTAGGAATAAACGTCCAATCCTAGAAGTGTTTTATTCCTAAAATCAATCTGGTTCAACATTGTTTAGTTACATTCCTAATATCATATCGTTAATTCCAATGGGTAATTTTGAAGCTGTACATTATCATACATGTTCATCATTTAACTCAACATTAAAACATGATAATGACTATCATTAATAGATTTATGGTGTGTGAAATTCCATCCGGAATCCATGCGGTCATGACATCAACAATTGATTCGATGGTCTCGGCCCAAGAGTGGGTGGGTCTCAACTCGAGTCACGGCTTGAAGAGCTTTGTTCGTTGCTTGAGCGTGGACGGACTTCGAGGGCCGTCGATTGAGGGTTGATACATTTGTTAGCTTCAGTTGAACATTGTGTTGACATTGTTTGGAGCGGCTACTTTCAACTCTTGTTGTGGTGTTAAAGGTTTGAGCCTGTGTATTTCCATAGGTTGCTTCTTCTTATGATATGATTTTCTACCATGTTGTTTCCATTGGCTGGCTTCTTTGTTTCGCAGCATGTGCGCAGTGTGGCAATGCTTTTCTTTCTGAATGGTGCTTCTGAAAACACACTGTGAGGCTCTTTCTGACCCGACTGTGAGTTGAGTTTCTTTTTCTCACGGCATGTGCGCCAAGGTTGGTGTGATGCAAGACCTCATGGAGTGGCAAGACCTCATAAAAGCAGTGACTTGTTGGATGGACGGCTTTGTGCAGGCAAGCGCCGTTTTCATGGTGCATTTGGCCAATGTGAAAATTACAAGATCCCAAAATAGATGGAACATTCAAGAGAAATTTGGAGAAGGCTGGTGGAATACACTTCGCTTTTTGGGTGTTCAACCCCTGTCAATGGACGTCAGCAGAGAAAGACGGTGTAAACCAAGAACTAAGTCAGATGCTGAACAACGCTAGTTGTATGTTGAAATCGCACCCAAAAATCTTGTCAGCACTTGGAAATGGAAGAAACAATAAGACATGAAATCCAACAGGTTCGGAAAAAAAAACCACAGGGTTTGGAAATGAAATCTAAAGGGCTTGGAAATGAATTTGGACATTAAATCCGGAGGGTTTGGACATGTTACCCGGAACGTTTGGAGTGAAGAGAAAGGGTTGACAGTATACTGATTTTTTGACTTAAATTCTGGGAGATGAAGATTGCAGGCAAGAAATGACTTCTTGGAAACCGTGTTTCAAACAACTTAACATTGGAATGACATGTTGTCAAATCAAGCCATCATTTGGACAGTGCAGATGCACAGCCAAAAGTCCAACAACAAGGCCGCGTACTTTGCTAAAGCTATGGATACGATCAATATGTCGAGCTCAGCTCGCACATTGACGTGGAAGTTTTTGATCTGTCATTTGCAACGTGCAAAAAAATATGAGCAACAGAAGATTGAACATTTGCGAGGGACATGCTTTGAGGCTGAAATGATTTTGGGCTGTGTTAGCGACTTGTATGAAATGATGCAAATACAAATCGATATACACAAATTGGATTCAGGACATAATTTTTGGTAGAAAGATCAACATATACAACCACAGATGCACAGTATGCTTTGTTGCATTGCAAGCAATGGAGTTGAAATACCCATGAATGGCACAACATTTGAGTTTATTTGGGACAGATTGGAAACAAAGAGCCGGTACATCTTCTGCGGCATCTGCAAAAGGTTCTGAAGCAAATTCATCAGCTGAGAAGGCCACAAATGCTGAACGGAGAAAACAGGATTACGGATATTACAACACAAAGCCGAAGGGCGATTGCCGAAACAAAACAAAACAACGTTGTTCACGTGCTTATTGCGGTTGTAAGTCAAACTTGGCAAAGCACAAGAAAACAAGAATGTGCCTGAGGTTCTTTGTATACGTGCATAATGGTTTATGATAAAAGATATAAACGAAATGTCATAAACTTACAACCTAAATACCTTCAATGACTAAATTGGAAACATAAAAGTTATTAGAGATAATATACTATGATGTGGAGGAGGGCTTCGGTTCAGTTCGGTTCGGTTCGGTGAGAGACTTATACGAGAAGGCTAGAAAAGTCGATCTAGGCATAGCTTTGAATATGGTTTCTAAGTGGATGAGGGCACAACCGAATAGACAAACAAGAAACTACATGAACTACAATTCCTACACAGCACCGTTTCCGAAATATGAACTCCAAATCGGCTTGATGGATGTTACAACTTTGTCGAGGGACGTAGGTCTACGTTGGTTTGCGTAGATACTTTCAGTAGGAAATGCAACATAGTTCCTATTGAAAGCAAAGACGGTTATGATGCTTTCACAGCAGTTCTGGAGTCCCTGAAAGTATTGGGCCAGCCTTTATCAATTTGCAACGACCACGAAGGAGCATTGAATAGCAAGAAACTACAGAAGTTCTTTAAGGATGAGGGCATGACATATGTAAAAACAAAGACGCATGCAAATCAGGCAGAAAGAATGACAGGTGCCATAAAACAGATCATTGGGGACAGGTTGAGGCATTACAGACCCAAAATGTGGGTGGGCGTGCTAAAGCCATCATTGAGTAGATACACCAACCAAGTCCACAGTAGCACCAAAACAACACCAAACAATGTGCGCGACCTTGATCACGTATTTCAGGTCAGAACCCAAAGAAAAGTGCAATTGTCGTTACCCAAGCATAAGTGAGAGCGATCACATTAGGGTGTTTGACAAGGGAAAGGGCAACTATGCGTCAAGGAAAGAAACCAATTTTTAGTAGGAAAGGATTTGATGAACAATAGACTTTACAAATTGAATGGTTTGAGCAAAACTTGTAAGTGGCCGAGCCATGCAAATCACGAAGTGTTTTTTGTTCGTTCTTTTGCCCTTGCTTTTATCATTGCAATTGTTGATTACATTCACTCATATACTCTTTGTTGTTTTCTTTCCAGCTTTAGTGGTCTTCATTGGTGGTGTTCTGTGTTTCCTGTTTCTTGTTTGTTCGGTTGCGGTTGCTCAGTAAGTGCGTTTGTGTGTTTATATTTATAGAGTTGGGTTTGTTTGCCTCTGTTATCCTCTCCAAATTTGTTGCGGTGTGTTTCCTAGAAGCCGTAAAATTTATCCATTCAGTTGCTCCAGCCGGCTATCCTTCCCCTGCTTTTACTAAAATGAGGGTAGGCATAAATCCAACAGAGTTGATAATTCTCTATACCATTTTCATCACATCAAATCATGCGATTTGAAAGATCATCTAGACATTTCTCTTGTGATTTTTGTATATTATGCCCGTGCTATTGAAATCTTTGCTTCAAAAGCTTATATATCAGGTAGAACCTAAAAGGCTTTCCGAATCATGGAGAGAGAGTCTAGCAACCGTATTCATTCTGAATAATCTGAATATTTGTTGGTATCATGATACGTCTTAAGTTATCATTCCTTTAACTCATTTTATGGTACTGCCCGCAAGGCAAACACTCCAATTCTGTGCGCCATGTTGTCAAAGAAGCTAAGGGCATACTTGGTTTGATTTATGCTGTAGATTTGGTGGTTCTTGTTTCTGATGCTTTTGGGTTCTGAACTTTTTGTTTGACTACTCACTACTCCTTTTCTCTTCTTTTCTTTTAAATTAGTTTTCTTTGTCTTCACCAATAAACCTGAAAGCAGTAGGACTTCGGCTTTCGCCCGATAGAGTCTGTTAGGAGTTTGCCATTGAGTTTGTCCTTGAACTCGCCAAATCCTTTTTGTAAAGACTAACCTCCGTGAAGTCCTTCTGCAAGTCATCCATGTCAACCCTTTTTACAAACATGTCAGTGTCCGTATCGACAAGCTTAGCATGATCATCAACATATTTAGGCATTTAGGTGTCAATTGTAAAAAGAATGCCCATGAACCTTTGAATAATCCAACATTGACATTCGTGACATTCCCCAAAAATCTGCTGGTGCAATTTCACTGTGCAAAATCATTTTCAA